TTTTTTTTTTTTTTTTTTTAGAGACAGAGTCTTTGTTGCCCATGGTCGAGTACAGTGGTGTCACAGCTCACAGCAACCTCCAGCTCTTGGGCTTAGGCGATTCTCTTGCCTCAGCCTCCCCAATAGCTGGGACTACAGGCGCCCACCACAGTGCCTGGCTATTTTTTTGTTGCAGTTTGGCCAGGACCGGGTTTGAACCCACCACCCTCAGTATAACCCAAAGGAGTTTTTATAGATATAAACATGCTTATACTAGAGTTTAAATAGAAAAGCAAAGGTAGGACGGCACCTTTGGCTCTGTGAGTAGGGTGCAGGCCCCATATACCAAGGGTGGTGGGTTTGAACCTGCTCCGGCCAAAGTGCAACAAAAAAATAGCAGGGCATTGTGGTGGGTGCCTGTAGTCCCAGCTACTCAAGAGGCTGAGGCAAGAGAATTGCTTAAGCCCAAGAGCTGGAGGTTGCTGTGAGCTGTGACAGCACAGCACTTTACTGAGGGTGACAAAGTCAGACTCTGTTTCTAAAACATAAAAGAAAGAAAAAAAGGTAATTAGAGAAGACAAAACTATTTTGAAAAAGGAAACATAAAGCTGAAAGAACTGGAGTACTTGATTTTATAATTATAATCACTGAATGTCAGTAATCACTATACACAGTATTTTTAGCAAAGTGATAAAAACATACATCAACAGAATAAAATGGAGAGTCAAGAAATAGACATAAGTATGGACAAATGATTTTTGCATATGTTCATCGTTTCCTATTAACTTAATAGAAAAAAGGCAGTATTTTCAATAATGTTGGATCAATTGCTCATGAACTTGTCCTAGAAAAAGTGCCACAGACCTCATTGCTGAATATCACTGCAGTCACCTTCAAAGTACTCCCTTTGGTCATCTGGTGTGGCATATCCATATCATAGACTACTAATCACTAGTAAAGTTAAACAACTACTGATACATAGAACAACATGTATAAACTTAGATTAATGTGCTTAAGGTCAAATAGCCAGTCTCAGAAAGGGAACATGCCCTATGTTTCCATTTCATAACATTCTATTAATGACAAAATTAGAAATGAACAGATCTGTGATTGCTAAGTGTTAGCACTGAGGAAAGAATGTGACTAAAAAAGTAGCATGAGGGAGTCTGGTTGATGCAATATTCTAAATATTGATTGTGGTTACAGGAACCAATATTTGTGATAAAATTTCTTAAAACTGTATATAAAATCAAACAAATACATGCATGTTAACACTGGCAAGATCCAAATAAACTGGGTAGAGAACAGTACTGTAACAATTTCGCTTTCCTGTATTTGCTAATGAATTATGGTTACGTAAGGTGTTACCTTTGGAAGAAGCTGGGTTTAGGGCATTTGGGAACTCTGAAATACTTCAATAAGATTTTGTGAATCTAAAGTTATTTCAAAAATGAAAACATAAAAACACAAGTTATATTATTTTCATAACCCTTGATTTTACTACAAACTTAAACATTCCAAATATATTCAATTACAGGTATGAAGTCAATATGCTATATTGTTTCATTTTGAAGTACTTTATGTATTCTGGTATAACACAAACATAGAGCCAAAGAAATGTAAGAGTTAATCATACATACAAGGCAGGCATAGAATACTCCTGTATTGTACTAGTATATTACTCCTATAATATATTAAAATTTAATTCATGATGAAACTGTCACAATTTAAACTACATAAAAATCTGTGACAACGCAACTAGAAGTACGGCTAACTTTATCCTATTCCCAAATGCTCCTGACATGTATCACCTAAGATTGGACTTTTGACAGTGAGCTCTCATTAATTTTGACAAGGTCCCTTTTCTTCATTAAGTTCTCTGATATTTTTCTACAGGTCTTTCACATTTCATGTATTTATAGGTATTATTTTTGCATTATTTGTTGGCAAACGATGAACAAAATATTTTATTGTAAATCCTTGTTGGGGACCAACCCTGCACCAGGATCGTGGGATACCTGCTAAAGTGGAATTGACCAAATGGGGAAAATGAATACACAAGACACAAAGACAAAGTTTATGGTGGGCCCAGGGGTCCCTCATTAAGCATGGTGAGACACAATGGAGGCACTCTATGCTTTGACCGATTAGCTTTTATTGAGTTCTCTCTACCACAATTTTAGGTGGGCCATCTATGAGCTAATGGAGAACTGAGCAAAGATCAGCTTGTGGGCTATTTGTGTCATTGATTAGCAATTGTATGAACACATATGCTTTTTCCCATTATCTCCTCTTCCTTAATTGATAGTTATCTATACTTAGCCTGTGCATCCATTAGAAACTAGGAACATAACCTTAAGGCAAATGGGATGTGTCCACATCTGCGTGGTTTGCCTCATCCTTCAGGGATCCAAATGGGATGGTAGACCCCTTGTTCCACTGTGGGACAAACTGGCTGATGCCAATGACCACATTGGGAGCTGGGAGAGAAAGAAGTCCTTCCTCTTATTTCCCCTCAAGAGGTCCTCCCTCTGTGTGGGTTTTGGTTGCACTCACTGTTCCCAGTGACTTCTGCAACACCCACCTCTCTCACAGGGTTTCTGCATTCCAGCCCTCTTCAGGGCAGGAGACTTATCTCCCTTTATAGGGAGAGGTACAACCCGCAGGCTTGATCAATTACCTGTTGCCATGCATGCTGCATGTGCATGCAGCCATTTGCATTCCAGTGTGCCTGGGCCATTTAAACTTTAAGCAGGCAAGCTGCATTAAAACCTTCCTTAAAACCTGTTTTGTGCAAGAATTGCACAGACTTGTTTTTAGTCAGCAAAGCTACTTTTATTAAAAACCAATTGAAATACTAAAGCCAAGCTGTTTCTTTACTCAGTTAAAATCCTAAACTCTATTTTGCTTTTAGACATTTTTCTCTTGGGGGGCTCAGGGTCCCCCAGTGTCTAATTTCCCCACATATATTCCCATAGCAAAATATTTCTCTGTTATGAACTCTCTTAATCTATCAAGATCTTATTTCTGGACAAAGACTTTCCCATAATTATTAACATTTCTACTATTAGTAGTTCCTTGATGATCCATGATAATCACTTATGACACAGTCTGTCTTCCTACCTAAGGCTTTCCTACTCAGCCATATTCCTAGAATTTTTCTCAATATACACTTTTTCAACATAATGTCCCAAAATATTTCATCAAAACTGATTGTAGACCAGGTGCCATAGCTCATGCCAGTAATCCTAACACTCTGGGAGGCTGAGGAGTGTGGATTGCTTGGTTCAGGAGTTCGAGACCAGCTTGAGCAAGAGCAAGACTCCATCTCTACCAAGAATAGAAAATCTAGCTGGATGTCGTGACAGGTGCCTGTAGTCCCAGCTACTTGGGAGGCTGGGGCAAAAGGATAGCTTGATTCCAGGAAACTGAGGTTGCTGTGAGCTATAATACCACAGCACTCTACCCAGAGTGACAGAGACTCTGTCTCAAAAAAAAAAACAAAACTGTTTGTATTGAAGTTGTTTTGTACATGTCTTTTTTTTTTTGTACCCAGCTGTTGCCCTGGGTAGAGAGCCGTAGTGTCATAGCTCACAGCAACCTTCAACTCTTGGGCACAAGTGATCCTCTAGCCTCAGTTATTCTATTTTTAGTAGAGATGGGGTTTTGCATATGCTCAGGCTGGTCTCAAATTCATGAGCTCAAGCAATCCACCTGCCTTGGGCTGGGATTACAGGGTGAGCCACTGCGGCCAGCCTGTACATCTTCTTTGTGTGCATGTGTATGTGTATTTTCTTTTTTGATGACAAATAGATGACTACATACATACCCTGCAATCATTAAGTTATTCTTCAAAAATATTGTATTATCTTGAGGACTTAACAACTGGCACGGTTTGCCCAAAATGACTACCTATGAATTCTCTTGTGTTTAACAAGGATAGACAAATGGGCAAAAGCTTTCCCACAATCATTGCAACCATAGGGCCTCTCTCCTGTATGTTTTCTTTGATGAACATTGAGCCCTGATTTTGTAGTGAAGGCTTTCCCACACTCACTACATTCATATGGTTTCTCTCCTGTGTGAATTCTCTGATGTGTAATGAGATCATTTTTGCGCAAAGATAATTTTCCACACTCAGTACATTCAAAGGAAGTCTTTCCTGTGTGAAATCGCTGATGCTGTATAAAACATGTCTTCTTCCTGAAGGTTTTACCACATTCGTTACATTTGTATGGTTTCTGTTCAGTATGAGTTTGCTGATGTATTCTGAGAGTACTCTTCATGGTGAAGCCCTTTCCACATTCACTGCATATATATGGTTTCTCCCCAGTGTGAGTTCGCAAATGTGCAATAAGCATGCTTTTCCCAGTTAAGCCTTTGCCACATTCACTGCATATATAGGGTTTCTCTCCAGTATGAGTGCGGCGATGTACATTGAGATGACTCTTCTCGGTGAAACCTTTTCCACATTCACTGCATATGTAAGGTTTCTCTCCTGTATGAGTTCGTTGATGTCCAATTAGCCGTATCTTTGCTGGAAAGCCTTTTCCACATTCATTACATACATAGGGCTTCTCTCCTGTATGAGTTCGTTGGTGTACAATCAGGCGGCTCTTCACAGTGAAGCCTTTACCACAATCATTGCACATATATGGCTTCTCTGCAGTATGAGTTCGCTGGTGTACAATGAGATCACTCTTCATGGTGAAGCCTTTTCGACATTCAGGGCATACATAGGGTTTCTCTCCTGTATGTGTTCGCTGATGTCTGATGAGAGGGCTCTTTAAAGTGAAGGCTTTTCCACATTCATTGCATATATAGGGTTTCTCTCCAGTATGAGTTCGTTGATGTACAATAAGACAGTGCTTCACTGAAAAGCCTTTTCCACATTCACTACATGTATATAATTTCTCGTCTGTATGAGTTTGCTGATGTGTGATTAGACTGTTCTTCAAAGTGAAACCTTTCCCACATTTACTGCATACAAAGGGTTTCTCACCAGTATGAGTTCGATGATGTGCAGTAAGACGCCTCTTCTCGATAAAGCCTTTGCCACATTCATTACATATAAAAGGTTTCTCTCCTGTATGAGTTTTCTGATGTGTAATGAGACTAAACTTTGTAGAGAAGGCCTTTTCACATACATTACATCCATGGGGTTTCTCTCCTGTGTGAGTTCGCTGATGATAAATAAGCCGACACTTTTTGATGAAGGCTTTCCCACATTCACTACATGTATAAGGTTTCTCTCCCATATGAGTTTTCTGATGTATATTGAATTGTGATTTCTTAAGGAAAGTTTTGTCACAGTCAGTGCATTCATAATGTTTCAGTCCTGAATGAATCCTCTGATGTTCTGTTAGCCTGGATTTTCTAGAGAATGCTTTCCCACATACACAGCATCCATGAGGTTTTTCTCCAGTATGAACTCTCTGATGATCAGAGAACTGAGAAAACTTGATGAAGCCTTTCCCACATTTACCACATACATGGGCTTTCTCTATGTTGGGACTTCTCTGTTCCTTAAGGACCTGGGATTCATTTTTGATGGGTTTTGTACTTATGGGGAATTTAATTTCAGAATAAAATTGTTCATGAAAAGGATGGAAAAGGCATTTCCCATTTCCATTAAACTCAGCAGAGTTCTTTAGGTTACAGCTTCTATTCTGGTTTTCAGAACTAAAATTTGATTTCAAAGGTTTGTCATGGAGGTCACACATAACACAATTTTGCTTTAATAGGAAATGGCCTCTCTTCTGAATACTTTGATCTTGTAAATGACCCTGCAGAGGATTATCAATGTTTCTGATTTCTAGGAGAGAAGAAAACAGTGAATCATTCCATCATCTTCCTTTGGAGTAAGACTGTTTAAGAAATACCTTGTTGTCATGTGACTCTGCAGTGACAGCCTTATATTATTATAAAGGAAATTCCATGTATAAATAAATATCTCTTACATACTGCATATTGGTAAGACACAATAACATGAATACACCATAAAGTAAAAGCAGTAAGTGTACCAAAAAAGTTAGATAATTTACAGTGTATATAAATTTGGTTGCTTTTCTAAATAGGTCTTTACAAAATGTATAGATAGTCACATATAAACAGGTCACTTTTAGCAGGGAACCCCAGAATTTGGTGGGACACCAGACTATAGAAATTAGAGAAATACCAGACCACACAGGTTAATCCCAAATGACAAGGGCTATATTCATTTATTCTAAAAATATTTGCTGAATGACTTCTATGTGTAAGCCACTGTGCTCATGTTTGGGATATAAAAATATTTCTTATTTTCACAAAGGTTTAATTCTAGTTATGGAAAAATGTATTAAAAACCAAAGAAAGTAACTATAATTTGTGAAATGTTGTTAATGGCAAATGAAATATAGGAGGTATGCCAGGCACAGTGGTTCACGCCTGTGATCCTAGCACTCTGGAAGGCCAAGGTAGGTAGATTGCTTGAGCTTAGGAGTTTGAAACCAGCCTAAGCAAGAGTGAAACTCCATCTCTAAAAATAGCCAGGCACTGTGGTATGTGCCTGTATTCCTCAGAGGCTGAGGCAAGAGAATCACTTGAGCCCAAGAGTTTGAGGTTGCTATGAGCTATCCACGTCATGGCACTCTACCAAGGGCCTCAAAAAAAAAAAAAAAAAAAGAGAGAAAGAAAAGATGAAGATATAGGAGATGAAGAAAATCAGGATATAGTTACAGACAAGATTCATTAACAGATTCAATGGTGGGAATGGGAAGAGTTAAAAAAAAAAAAAGTGAGGACTCAAAGGTTATTCCAAAAGTTATATGACTTCAACTACCGGATAGGGGGAAATAAACCTCATGATGAAATAAAAAGTATTACTGAAGTCTGCAATGAAGGGAAAATCTAGCATATAGGTATTGTGAAACATATAAAGTTTAAGATGTTACTGCATATCTAAGCACAAACATAAAGAAATTGGTTTTTGTTGAATATATAAATCTTGGAAAAGGTTTTACCTGGAAATAGCAACATGAACATACCAAAATTATCCAAAGAAAGAACACAGGATGAGATCGTATTTGGAAACATGGACAAACAGAAGGCCAAGGATTTAGTCATTCTAATAATATTAAGTTTTGGAATTTGTTAAGCCCACTGAAATGAACCAAATATTGACTACTGTGACCAGGTACACAACTGGCAATCCAGGCATATTGAACAAATGTCCCAGAGTGTAAGTAAGAATGTGAGAGCCTTTCGAAAACTGCTAAGACAGTAGATTTTAAGAACTCTAATCATAAAAAAAAAGTAAGTATATGATGTAGTATATATGTTAATTAGCTCAATTTAGCCATTCTACAAAGTATACAACTTTGAAAAACAACACATTGTAAATATTTGCATGCTACACACATCTGATAAAGGGCTGATAATTAGAATCTACAAAGAACTCAAGCAAATCAGCAAGAAAAAATCAAACAACTCCATTAAAAAGTGGGCAAAAGACCTGAACAGAAACTTTTCAAGCGAAAGTCTAATGGTCAACAAACACATGAAAAAATGCTACTTCAAAAAAAAAGGTGAGGTTTGTCCCTGTAGCTCAGCAATTAGAGTGCCAGCCACATGCACAGGGCTCTTGGGTTCGAACCCTGCCAGGCCTGCTAAACAACAAGGACAACAAAAATAGCTGGGTGTTGTGGCAGGCGCCTGTGGTCCCGGCTACTTGGGTGGCTGAGGGAAGAGAATCACTTAAGCCCAAGAGTTTGAGGTTGCTGTGAGCTGTGACACCAAGCACTCTACCCAGGGCAACATAGTGAGACTGTCTCAAAAATGAATAAACAAACAAATAAATAAAAAGGTGAATTATATGATATGTGCATTATATCTCTGTTTTTTGAGACAGAGTCTCACTTTATCACCCTTGGTAGAGTGCCGTGGTATCTCACAGCTCACAGCAACCTCTAACTCCTAGGCTTAGGCGATTCTCTTGCCTCAGCCTCCGGAGTAGCTGGGACTACAGGTGCCCTTCACAATGCCTATTTTTTTGTTGTGGTTTGGCCGGGGCTGGGTTATGAACCCACCACCCTCGGTATATCGGGCCAGCGCCCTACTCACTGAGCCATAGGTGCTGCCCTGTGCATTATATCTCAATACCATTGCTAAAAAATATGAGAAAATAAATGAATGCAGCAGTAACATAATGAAAGTTTAGAATTGGCAAAACTATAAAGGAAGTAAATTTTTTTTTTTTAGACAGAGTCTCACTTGGTCACCCTTGGTAGAGTGCTGTAGCATCTTAGCTCACAGCAACCCCAAACTCTTGGGTTCAAGTGATCCTCTTGCCTCAGCTTCCCAAGTAGCTGGGACTACAGGTGCCCACCACAACCTCTGGCTATTTTTTAGAGACAGGGTCTCTCTTTGGCTCAGGTTGATCTTGAACCTGTGAAGACAATCCACCCACCTTGGCCTCCCAAGTGCTGAAACTACAGGCATGAGCCACTGCACCTGGCTGAAAAGTAATTTGTAGCAGACATAAATTCTGATCTGAATTAGAACAGAAATAATACTGGATATTAAGTGACTAATTAATCTCAAAAATAGAGATTAAAGAAGAGAGCTCAGCATGTAAGAGAATGTTCAAGGTAATACCAGGATAAAGAGAATTTGAGATTTAAGATATGAAGGAGACTGTGAATTGAAACAAGGATAGCTGAAAGTATTTTTTCTTGGAGGGAAGATGGTTCATGTTTGTCACACAAAATGGGAAGTTACAGGCCAGCTGCCAAGAAAACAAGTAAAGTACATAGAAATAATGTGGGCTCGGCGCCTATAGCTCAACCGGCTAAGGCGCCAGCCACGTACACCTAAGGTGGCGGGTTCGAATCCCCAGCCCAGACTCGCCAAACAACAATGACGGCTGCAACCAAAAAATAGCTGGGCGTTGTGGCGGGCGCCTGTGGTCCCAGCTACTTGGGAGGCTGATCCAGGAGACTCGCTTGAGCCCAGGAGTTGGAGGTTGCTGTGAGCTGTAATGCCACAGCACTCTACCCAGGGGGACAGCTTGAGGCTCTGTCTCAAAAAAAAAAAAAAAAAAAAGAAATAATGTGTATATTAGATAATATTAACAGAGAAGACAATTTGGAGTCTTCTTCCAGAGAATAAAAAAGGTTAACTCTCGAGAATGAAGGACTATTTTAAGAACTGTGAGAAGAGGAAAGAGAATGAACAGAGATGTATAGTGAACCCTCAGCAGTAAGAGAAGCTAAAGAACCACAAAATGCTCAGACCCGGTTATCATAAGGCACAGGTGAAGTCAGATATTATGAAGGGACACTTAATAGGGCAGGAAGGTGAGGTAATCAACAATAAGACAATACATTCAAATTCTCTTTTTCTAGAGGGCTGGAAAGTGGGACTTCATAGTAAGGTAACCTACGCAGAGATACAGTGTCAGTGGACAAAGAAAAGGAAGATTTGAAAATCCTAGGAAGAAGATAATTATGCAAATAAAAACAAGATGTATATTAAATAAAGAAAAGAGATCTCAGAAGAAAAAAGAGGGGTAGATATTCTTTTTACGTTTCTACCAAGAAAAAGAGCTCTTTCATGAGAAGAGAGAGGCTGCTATATCCTTAGATACCCTGGAGGTTTTGACACCTGCCCTGGGTGAGTAGAATATGACTTCTAGGGATGCCCACCTTGCTGGTTCTCTCACTCACCAAAACAAATTTGCCTGTGGATTTCATCTTCTGTCATCCACAGTTCTCCTGGTTCCAACTTGGAGAGTATATCTGATTTGCTGGCTTGATACCCTGTTCATGGAAAACAGCAGAAGAGTTACACAACTGGGCTGGCAAAGTCAAGAAAGGAGAATGTTACATTTCAGAGACTGAATAGGTTTCACATCTCTAACATCAGGGCTTTTCTCTCAGGACAGTGTAGATTATACCCTCTTGTGTGGGGCAAGAGAAGCATCTATGAATGTACCAGAGGTCCACCAAAGCTTTCAGAAGGTAAGAAATGGAAGGCGACGAACAGGGACCCCCTAAGAAACATAGGGCAACTGTCCTTACCCACTGATACCAGGTTGCTGTAGTTCTCCAACATTATGTCCCGGTACAGGTCCTTCTGAGCAGAGCCCAGGAGTTGCCACTCCTCCCAGGTGAATTTCACAGACACATCATCAAATGTCAGGGATTCCTGTAATAACAGAATCCTGTTAACAACGTGGTACTCTTTTGATGATATGAAAAGAATGTAGGCTCGGCGCCTGTGGCTCAAGCAGCTAAGGCACCAGCCACATACACTTAAGGTGGCGGGTTCGAATCCCCAGCCCGGACCCGCCAAACAACAATGATGGCTGCAACCAAAAAAATGGCCAGGCGTTGTGGCGGGTGCCTGTAGTCCCAGCTACTTGGGAGGCTGAGGCAGGAGACTC